TACTATTCAACTAAAAATTATTTGGGAACTCCAAAATAGCCTAGAATGAATTACTATTTTTCAATCCCCATATTTCACTAACCTACACATTTATCTAAAAATGTTAAGAATCCAGATGTTTCATTTGTATGGAAGAGACAGAAGGAAATGAGGTTCAGAACCAATAGAGCAAAGTCAAGCTCTACATGTAGGTTTTATGTCTTTCCAAAATCTCCAGCAGAAATATAATGAAACATCTGCAATTCCCTAGCTTAAGATACATGATACAAAACCATCATAATTCACATAATTTCCTTCAGAAACCACAAGTTGCTCACTGATAGCCAAAGAACTCAGAAGCTAAATAGCTGTGTTGAAACTTGGAACTAGTTGCATTTTGAGTTTTTCTCAACACTTGCCTAAAGTGTTTTCAACAAAAAATGTCATTGTCATAAGCCACATATAGCAACATCTCCAAGTGAATAGAAAGACACCCATATAAGAATGCAATATCTAGATCTTATATATACATTTTTCTACATTAAGGAAGTTATCAGACAGAGTTTAGAGCTTCAATGGACCTGGAAAACTGCTTGTAAAGTAAGAAAATGGCAGTTGAGAAATACTGTACAGCTAGTCAGGTTCAGAAGTCAGGACTCGAACTCTGCTTTCCTCTAGGACTGAGGAAGGAAGAAAATGCTATCCAAATAGGCATAGAAACTATCCTTCTGCTTCTTGCCTAATTATCTAGTGCTTTTGGTTAACAATTGTTTCCATAGCCAACAAAAATTTTAAAAATACACAAATTATAAAAAATCTGTATTACAGAGGTCTGCACTTGGTAGGAGTAGAGAAATAGCTAATATAATTAAAATAAAGTATGCCATTAAGATGATGGAAATGTTAAGGAACAGAACAATTACAGAGCAAGAAACAAAAATACTTTGTGACAATCTCTGAGTGATTAAGGTACTATGTGCTATAAATATGTAACCACCAGTGTGTTACATTATTAAGAAAATTTCATTTGACAATGAAAAGCCACTTCAAGAGTTAACAAAGGTAAAGCCCAAGACAATCCAAAAATCAAATTCTGAATTTTCAATATGCTAGAGTTCTGGTTAAGAGTTAAGAACACAAAACAAAGAATCAAAGAATACAAAAAAGCCAAAGGCATGATCTACAAAAAGAACTATGAAAACACAACCTGCCTATTTCTGGAACAAGTCATGCTTTCTCCAACAGGGCAGGAATGTTGGAACAGAATGTTGGGTGGTATAGGCAGGAAGCAGGAGGATCCTTTCTTGCCCATTTGGGTAGCATCTCTGATCCTTCCTTCCTCAATCCTAGAGGGAAGGATGGAAAGTCCCCTAACTAAATCTGGCTCTGGCTAGACGTAGTGAGCCAGAAGACGAGATTTAGCAACTCAAGCATCCTGCAGTGTTAGTTGGTCTCTCCAAACAAGTCCATGGAAAGGAGGGTAGCAAGTGAAAATAGAATGCCGCATGTTTTATGTAGATATGTACATTTGACTCACATAAATATTGGGTCTAAATGTATCACAAAAGCTCAACAAAATGGAATAGACACTCACCAAAGCGTTACTGCACTGAAGCATAAGATCTCTGATGATATAATGAGGGTACCATCTCCCCCAACTTAAACACACACCTTCTAGGGGATAGATTGGGAAGTTCTATGCATAGATAGGAATAGTTTCTTTATGCTTTGCTGTGCTGTTTGTTTTGGCAGGGTCCAGGATGGAGTACAGTGGCATGATCACAGCTCACCTCAACCTCCTGGGCTCAGGCAATCCTTCTGCCTCAGACTTCCTAGGAGCTGGGACTACAGACACACACTACCATGCCTGGCTAATTTTTTTTTTTTTTGTAGAGACAATGTCTTGCTGTGTTGTCCAGGCTGTGCTATACTGTTTTGAAGGAAAATTCCAAAGTGAATCATTCAGAAAAAAGAGAATCAGAGTAATTTTTCTAAGGAAGGGAAAATGTTCCTTCTTCATTTTCCCTTCCTCATGAAAAAGAACTCAGTGATTATCTAAGGGTCAAAAAGGCAAAAACATTTTTCACATAAAATTTCTTAGAAGTTCTTTGGAATCTTTACAGGTAATCTATACTAGATTTAATTGCTAAAAAATAGTAAGGCATTTCCTTGAATAAATGCAGAGACAACACTTTTCATTTCATAAGCCTTTCTTTAAAAAATAATCAGGAGTTTTCAAGATATTCCGTTCGTCACCATCAGCCTCTTTTTGGTGCTGTTCTGCCCTTTGAGCTGACCCCTTACCCCTACATTCCTATACCTGTTTATATCAAAACAAAGGATAACTAAGCTGACAAGAGACATCGGGACCATCTAAGATTCTTCGAAAGTAAAACACAGGGAAGGAAACATCTGTCTTTCAACTCATTTTTACAATCTTGACATCTTCCATGTTAATGATAGAGAACCATTTGGCCCCTTTTAATTGAAGGGAATTTTCTTACAACACAAAGAACTTTGGAATCATTTTTTTAATTTTTGGCAGCATAAATAAAAGTACATGTATCATGCCTAATAAACATAAATAAAAGTACGTGTATCATGCCTAATGAACAAAGAATCCAATGCACGGGTATGTCCTATCCCACAGTATTGCTTCTGTAGCAGTATTTCTTTGTTTCTTTAATTTTAACAAACACATATGTAGTATTTACTCTGTGCCAGGGATAATTTTCAGTGCTTTACAAATTATAACACATTTATGAAGTATATACTATTTTATATTCATTTTTTGAGATGAGGAAAATAAAGCATAGAGAGGTTGACTGGTTTGCCCATGGTGACATAGCTAATAACAGGTGAAACAAGAATTGAAACCCAGGCATTTACTAAGTGTAGCTCCAGAATCCATGTTCCCCTCCATTATACTGTCTTTCAAACTTTCACTAAATCCAAGATAAACTGTGATTTGTGCAAAATCATCTTACACATTTTTGTCACATTACCAATTCAATAATTAACTTGTGTCATGTTGCAGTTTCTTCAGATTCCTTAGGAACAAGAGGGAAAAGATGAATACCATCAAATGCTATATTTGGCCAATTTGCATTATTTTGGAAACAAGATAGAAGTGTAAATTTTTTCTTAAATAGTGTCCCCTCTCTGCTAGAAAAGCTACTGTGCAGAACATAAAACACTCAGAAACCTCTTGGATACTTACATTTTGTAATGCCACTGTAATTTAAAAGGTCTTGTTAGAAAATTTAATTAAGTGGTACAGAAAAATAGAACAGTTCTTAAAGGTGATTCCTGGGGAATTCCATAGTTGATGAACCTCTCAGGGGCTAGAGGAGTTTTCTCCTTGGAATTCTTTTAGCACACCTGGCAGAGAACATGTGTGCCCCTAAGCCTCTGCCTTCAGGGAAGGTGTACTTCCCTGCTTTCCAGGGCATTCTGCCAATGCAGCCTTGTCCTGGGTGGGACAGAGGGGCTGTGAGTACCTCAAGGTACCTGCATTTGGGAGTTTCCTGCAAACTAAAGCAGCAAAGGAGGAGGAAAGTATCTCTATTCCTGCAAAGAATCAACCCATTTGTTCATCTGTGAGGGTCATGTGGTATGGCCAAGAGAAGAGTCCTCTCTTCACCCTTTGGGTATTGGAGCATGATGGTTCCTCAGATTCTATAACTGTAGCCTCTAGCTGTGCAAATACTTCTGACACTGTTGTATAATTGGCCGAAGACTAAATTCTACCGGGGACTGTTCTTATTTTGATCATCTTCTTTTAAAACAATGTTGAGTAGACTAACCAGTGAGAGTACAACAGTTTTGCCTACTTCTTTTGTTTACTGGAAACTGGAATTACCACTAGCTCCCTTTAAACTTTCTGTGCACAGGGTCTAGCTCAGTGGCTTGCACATCATAGCAGGTAGACAAATGTTAGTCCCCTTCACCTTTTCATCGCCAACCTGTGATGAAACCTGAATGTGCAATTAGAGTCCACCTGTGACTGTCACTGGCCCTTCTTTGAAAAGCAAAAGAAGTGTTTTCAAAAATTAAAATAGCCAAGGGAACTCTTGACTCCTTACCCTGCCAACTCATCTGTAAGCCAGGTCTCTCCACTGCCAGTTCTAGCCTTTTTAACCACACTTCTCTATTCCTCTAAGCCCCTTCCTCATTAGAAATAGAATATATACTCCAATGTAGAACAAACTTAGTTCCATCCTCTCACCAGATGTGTCCACCTAGCACTCTAAAGATGCCCTGGAAACTCACTTGATCATCCAAGGACTTTTTTTGCAGTAGAAATGGGACAAAATGTCAAGATCCAGATAAAATGCTGGGAACACATTTCCTAAGTTTCTCAGACTCTTGTGATGTAGCTTTAAATTTTACCATTAAAATACCCATTTGTAATTATGGAAAACGCAGAAGCCTATTTTCTGATTTGGTACTTATTACACGAGGTTGAGGTTGAAAACTTACAAATGATTTTTTTTAGAGATTTTATCTGATTATACTGGGTGGTCCATTTAAAACACTGTCAATACAACCTCATTTCAAAGAAAAGATTTACAAGTGAGCCACTTTGCACAACAGCTATGGTGAGGATTATATAAGTACTGCAAGGTTCAGAGTTTATTTTGTGTAAATACAGTCTAGACTTATTATCTTTCCCCCATCTCAGAGCCAACGCAAAGAAAGAAATAAACCTGATGAGAAAACAAGAAGGAGCAGAAGATGTTGGGGGAAAATGCTAAAATAAACATTTTAGCTGGCTCTCTGTGAATGACAAACCTGGACCTAAATACTGGCTCAGGGTGGAAAGGGGCTAAATACTGGCTCAGGGTGGAAAGGAGCAGAATAAGGAGGCAAGGACTATACCTGGAAAATCCCAAGCCAGACCTGCAAGGCCAAGCCTTGCTCAGTGATGAACCCTCTGATATGTGGAGTGAAGCCATGAACCAGGTGGAAAGCCCCTCCCCCAGGGAACTGAGGTCCCCAGGCACCATACTCATACTCACGCTGACACTGTCCCCAGGACTGGCGAACCCAGCCCCAGCAGCAGTCAATACTCCCACCATAACGACATAGGCCAATCGATGACACTATCTGCCTGGGCCACCTACCAAACAAAAAGATTCAAAATAAATAAAGACACTCTTGAGATTAAAAATAATTTCCTTTGTTGTTATTTTAGAAAAAATAAATTGAACCAAATGCAATAATTTTTGCAAACTCCTTTATGCCTACAGAAATTTAAGGATAAAACACCTACAAAGAAATAGTTCTGCTATGATCTAATTTCAAATTTCAGGCAGTTAAACAACCCTCCCTCAACACACAGGGGTAGAAAAAGAGGGGGAGGGGAAGGTGCTTTCTTAAATAGAAATAGAACCAGTTACAACCAACAATTCTCAGGGCTGCCACTCAGGATAATTTCTAAAGCCTGAAATAAACCAGATTCCTCAAAGACCCACACCTGTTGTTGGGAAAAAGTCAGTTTTAACTAATTCATCATAAACTGAAAAGTATTAAATAATACAAGACATGTCAAAGCAGAAAAAAGCAATCTGCTTCATATAAAGGATGGATGGGGGAAGGAGCAGAAAGAAACGCTATTCCTCAAAAATCAAGTGAAACAGCTCTTTTTAAGATACAACTTTGGCAGCAACAGTCCCCAGGAAAGAAATATGTACTAGAAAAAGAAATCTAAATAAAACCAAGGAGAGTTTAAAGTACTGCTGACATCTCAAGCGTCCTTGTGGTTTGAAACTGGCCTCCCATCAACAATTCATAGTACTTTCCTCTCTAATGTAAACAACACCTAAAGAAAGTGCAATTTCAGGATACAGATTTATTCACCAGATTACACTTTGACACATTATTTGGTCAAATTGTTTTCTTGTTCACACCTAAATGACTTTTTTCCTTTGAGACGATCCACATTTTAATTGACTGTTTTAGACATCTTTTTAAAGCTACATTAAAATCTTTTGCATATCACGTGATGTATTTCTTGTTGCAAATGTGTGTGCAAGAAATGCACAATATTCCCAAACGTGGGCAAGTTAATTGCTTCCAAAAAAAAAGTCTAGCCTCGGGCTGCTACCCACGTTTTCTTACTCTCCTTATCTTTCCAGTTCACCTTTGCTTTACCTGCCCTTTCCACCCCCGGGCCCAAAATACAAAACAACCTCTAACATTCTATTTTCTCTGACCAGGTAGTAAACAAGCAGCTGCACTTTTCCTAGGCGCGTCACTGCTTCCCCTCCGTTCTCCGCCAGGTACAAGACGACCAATCAATCGTGGAATCGATTCGTTCCAAGATTGCAGGTAAAACAACAGGTGCGGGAGGCACCTTTCTTGGGGCTGTGCAGTAGCACACCACAGAGGGGCGGGGGTTGCTGAAGGAGGGCGACCTGGTGGCGGCGTGACCCAGAGCAGAACCCCTCCAGCAGCAGCCACCTGTGCCTGGTCTGTAATTGCACGATGGTGAGGGAACCAAGCACTTCCCCCTACCCCCTGACAGACACACTCAACTCAGTCACTTAGTCGCACACACACCGGAGCGGACCGGCGGCTGGAGGGAAAAGGCGCCGCAAGCCACAGCAGGAGGAGCGGCTGAGTGACAGCGAGACGGAGCCGGGGTTGCTGGAACCTGTCAGAGCACGCAGCAGCCGGGCGCGCCCGAGGTCTGGGAGCAGGGCGGCGTGTGCGCGCTCTCTCTCTCTGTCAATCTGTCTCTGTCTCTCTTCCTGTATGTCTGTCTCTCTCTCTCTACCTCTCTCTCTCTCTCTTACACATCTCTCTCACACACACACACACACACACACACACACACACACACACACCGTCCTTTTTTTGAGCCCCTTTCCTTCGAGAAAACCAAATGGGGAGGCAAACATCTCCCCCGTAGCCCAGTCGTTTCGTCACCCCCACCCTCCGTGCAAGCGGCCCTGACAGCTCGGAGCCGAGCCGGGATTTCTCCCTCCACCCCCCGCTCGGGCCGCCTAGAAGTGTCCCCACTGAGAGGCCCGCGAGACCGAGAGGCCAAATTTCCCCGCCAAGGGATTTCCCGCGCGTCCTCTCCGCCAAGGCGGCCACATCGCGCCCCGGAGCCGAGATCCCGGACTCCAGCCTCTCTTCTCTCCAGCTCTGAGTCCCGAGCCGGCAGGCGCCGTCGGGAAGCAGCGGCTGGGGTTCCTGGACTCGCCGGGCGCACTCTCCCCGGCCCGGAGGATCACTGGGAGCGCCTCGACGGCGCCGGGTCGCTGAGACAGTGCGGTAGCCCCACCTGTGGCCCGGGGAGACGGTGCTCTGGCCGCGAAACCCCGCGGGGAGAGGGGCCCCAAGACAGCGAGTGGCAAAGCAGCGCGGAGAGGAGAAGAGGGAGCCCCGGGGCCCTACTCACCTCCCGTCGAACTCTGCGGCCGCCTGCAGGTAGAGCGAGCACCCGAGCACCAGCGTCAGGACGAAATCCAT